TTGATCTATGTACTAGCTTGTAGAACTCCTTGAAGCAATGCATGCTTAAATTCCACGTTTGGAAAGTGGATGTATTTTTCCCTTTTGATGCATCCATTTAGAACCTTTTGAGAAATACATTTTACCTTGAATATATATTCATGGCAAGGGTCACTATCACATGAAATGCAAACTGCTCATCAGGAATTGAGGTATCTTTATATGGATTATTTCTTGTTTAATAGGTTGCTGCTCTTATTCAATTTCATGGTGTACCATGAGCTTTGGGAAGGGTTTGGGCACTTATTTTTGTTCATATTCCCCATTGAAGAATTTACTTGACCTTAGCCCTCAAGAAAACATATTTCACCACATTTATTAATGCATTCCCCTCATGCATGGCTTTTTCAGGTTTCATGGTCTAGAGGCACACATGCATATTTTTTATTGAGAAATATTAATTGAATGGCATGGTGATTCATGGTCATCTTAATTATAATTTTTTTCTATTGGATGTTATTGTAACTTGTTCATTTTCATGAGAAAGTAGGGCTTAAATATCCCTGCTTACAAGGTCCCCTTGGTAGAGTGATTTTTCCAAATAAATATATTTTTAATGAACTTTTATGTTCAGGAAAATTTACAAGAAAATAATAAGATGAGAAGGGGAGATGTAACATGGCAGCATGGTACAAAAGTGAATGACAAAGAAAGAGTTCGATGTACTTTTTGTAACAAGGAAATGGGTAGTGGTATTTATTGCCTAAAAGAACATCTTGTGTGGGAAAAGGGTAATGTCACCGGTTGTAAAGAAGTGCCACCAGAAGTAAAACAACAAATGATAAAAATAATTACAGAAGGAAAAGGAAAAAAAGTGCAGAGAGAAAGGGATACAGAGGAGATATGGACGGGGTACGAAAGTCCAATAGATGAGGAAGATGACCAAGAGGCAGAATTTGAGGTGCAAATGGAACGAGCTAGGATTGCCAGTATTCAAGAGCTTAATTATAGACAAATGGAAATTCAAGAGATGTACAGGAGAAGGGATTGTGCATCCAGTAGCCATCAACCTCAAGAATATGTAGTACCGGGTAAGGGAGGATGTGGGCCTTCATTGCTTAGATCCACATCAAGTAGATTGAGATGTAGTTTCTCTAGTCGCCCATCCTTTTATAGTCGGCCATCTACTACTCAACGACATGAACCCATAGATGTGTCATCAATGACCCGCGAAGCCTCTGGACTTGATCCCCACAAGTCACAATATCATCAAAAAAAATTAAAATTTTTGTTAGCTGGTGTATTAATAGAAAAAGTTAGAAAGATGATTAGCATGTTCCGGTATGCTAATGCACTGCCATTTAATTCGGCAAGCTCAGCCTTCTACCCACAACTGGTAGCTTCTATAGCTGAAGTAGGGCCAGGTGTTAGAGGTCCAACTGCAAAGGAGCTTGCAGGGCCATGTTTAGAAGTTGTTGTTCATGATGTTGATAAGCATATTGTACAGTTCAATGTCTGCTGGCCAGGTACAGGAGTGACCATCATGACTGACGGTTGGAAGGACAAGTCTCATAGGTACCTTGTCAATTTTTTAATAGGTTACCCTAGGGGCATTATTTACTACTCTAGCATTGATTTATCAAGAAAGAGACATACTGGGAGACTGATATGCGCACACCTAGACAAAATTGTAGATGAGGTTGGGCCTGAAAATGTGGTCCAAGCAGTGACTGATAATGCTGTGAATTACAGAGAAGCAGGCTTGTTGCTAATGGAGAGAAGACCCAATCTTTATTGGACTCCTTGTGCTGTCCATTATATTAATTTGATGCTCAAGGATATAGGGAAGCTGAATAGGGTTAAATATTGTATTTTGAAGAGCAAGTTTATTACAAGGTTTATATACAATCACACATATCTTCATGCTTTGATGAGGGAGCATTGCTTGTGAGAGATTGTTAGGGAGTCCACTACCGGCTTCGTTACAACGTTCCTTATGATACAATCGATATTGGTAAACAAGGCAGGATTGAGGTCAATGATATGCTGTAATGAATGGCAGACTGATAGGGCAGCAATGAGTCAACTTGAAAGGCAGGTTGGAACCACCCATCTCGATCGGAGGTTATGGGCTCGATGTAACCATGTTGTTTCTGTAACTGAACGTTTAGTACGGGTGTTGAGTTTAAGTGACTCTGATGATAAACCCACAATGGGGTTTCTATTCGATGTAATGAGACATGCAAGGGAAGCTATATTTGAGAATAACATATGGAATGAAGAGATATTGGATATTGTTTATCGTAGGTGGAGAGACCAACTGTACCAAGATATCCATGCAGCAGGTAATTTATGATTCACTATCGCAATTCATGACTCTTTCTCAACTCCGAGAAAAGTTACCGTAATTAATAATATAACAAACCATGTGCAGGGTTCTTTCTTAATCCACAAAATTTGTACTCTAATGCCACTTTAGATGATGCAGACATCATGGAGGGGGTAAGAAACTACATCTATAGGCTTGAACTTGATCTTGAAACTCAGATGGAGTGTATGCAACAGGTAAACCTTAATCAAAACGTGTATGTAATAAAATTTCAATTTACAATAATGAATTGCATTTCTATGTAGTACTAATTTCTTGTACATGCATCTTGTTATTTCTAGCTTTTCATGTACATGGAAAAAAATGGGGAATTTGCATAGAACAATGCCAAAAAAGTAGCTGCAAAATTGCACCCAGGTTAGTTTTAAGTTAAAACTTGCAATAGTTTAGTACACTACTATTTGTGGGTTTTTTTAAATCAATTTATTTTCTATTGTTAAGTATTTCTATGTCTGTGTCAGCACAATGATGGACGATACACGAAATTTGAACAAAGCAATTGCAAAAGATTGCCGTTAGAATTTTGAGTCAAACCTATGCTGCCTCGGGCGGTGAGAGAAACTGGAGTACATTTCAGTGGATACACACCCCGAGGCAGAATAGGTTAAAGACACAGACACTACACAACTTGGTGTTTGTTCATTATAATTTGAAATTGAGAGAGAAACATATAAGGAGGACCGCCACAGACTACATGCCGATCAACCTTGATTACATCTTCCTGATGGACCTTGCCGATGAGTGGGTGTCACTAAGGACCCCACTACTTGACCAAGATTTTCTTAGTGGGGCAGTTACCGATATGGATGATAATGTGAATGTGCAGTATCCAATGAAGGAGACATAACAATGGACTTGGATGACGATTATACACAGGATGAAGATGAGGCACAGAATGATGAAACAGATGGGACAATGGAAAACAATTGGAAAGAACCAGTCATCCAAGAATGTGAAGGGGCGCAACATGATGCGGTTCTTGATGAACAGGAAGATTTAATGAGATTGGCTCGGGAGGAAGTCCAGGCATTGAGGCATAGGAGTTACTCAACAAGAGAGAGACGAAGCCGTAGCCGTCACCGTAACCTGGTGATCCATGATGATGACAATATTGAAGATGTTGAGGGCCATAACACAGAACAGGGTGGGGGTAACACAGAACAGGGTGCGAGTAATACAAAACAGGATAGGGGTAACACAGAACAGGGTGGGGGAGAGCATGAAGGCTGGACGAGTCTAGGAGACTTTGGCCAAGGGGGTACCACAATAAATATTTCTGATTGGCGATGGGGCACAACTACGGCATTACAGACTCCACCAAGCCTTACTCAGATTTTTCGCCCCATAAATCCTAATAGTGAAACACAAGAATATCATGATCCCCCTCGCCACTCTCATTACTACTAGCACGATTAGTTGGACTTTGTAAATTCATTAATTGAATTAATGTCAAATTCTAAATTGTCTTGTATATCTTCATAGTATTCAAATATTAATTTATATAAAAAGTTGTTTCAATTTTTTTTGTAAGATAAATGTATGTAATATAATAGTATACACTTAATCTAAGTTTTTCTAATTTTTTTCAATTTTTTTAAATTTCTTTGGATGTTTTTTATCCTTTTTTTTAAGAAAAGAATTACTTGACCGGTTAAAACGGTTAACCACCCCAGTTAGTCCGTTTTAGGTTCAAACAGCTCCCAGCCCCAAAACCGGTTAACCGTTCCGGTTCGATTTTGAGAACATTGATATATATATATATATGGGTTTATCAAGAATTAACAACCCCTCAAAAGACAAAGGTTCAAGTTAGAAGGGGCTATGATGGGTATATTTATCAAAACAACCATTACTTTTTTATTAAAATAGGTAATATTTCCATCAAGCAAGGGCAAATTTGAAATTTTCACAAAAGTACAATGACATTTTGGAAGTTAGTGTGCTGAAACTTTATTGGTAGATTGCCCTTGTCTTTTATTTAAAATTTCAACTATACCCTTTAAGGAAATGATAAAAGTACCATTTGTCTTGTAGTAATATTACAAAA